CGAGCATCGACTCGAGCTGAGCCGTCATGTCGTCGACCTTCATCGCGGGGCGCTTGTGTGTGGTGTTGCCTTGTGCCGTGATGTTTCTCTTGCATCGAGGTGCTCCCCGATGACGTATGTGCCTCTCGGGCCGTCGTCTGTTGTATGTAGATGGACGATGTACTGGGACCTGAAATCGATGACAGTGACTTCTTTTGACGGTGAGATCTGTTCGCGAATGATTCTCTTCGTGATGGAAGCTTGACTTGGTGTGAGGTTGAAAATTTTAGGTGACCTACCCTCGCCGCGACGCCAAATGTGTGGCCGTGTTTTTGGTGGGGAAGCTTATTGGGCAACTGCGATCCAAGGTACATGACGACAATGGAATCCGTTCGAACATCCAGACGAACGATCAACAGTGGCCATCACTCCCAAGATCACTCGAAGCATGCAGTCAGAGGAATAGACCCTACATTTTTTTTCTTTCTAAATCACGAATCAAGCTTGCTTGCCGACCAACGCAAATACATCGCTGGCCATGATGAGAAAAACAAGACCTTAAAACACCAACGCAGGACCCCAAAACCGAGACCCCTACGCAATACAACCAACGCGAGCCTTTTCCCAATCCAGTACGCCAGACAAAAAACCACCGCGGCCCATCGTGCCCAGGGATATCTCCCGTCTAGATATATGCATCGAGTCGTGAAAAATGTGCAGACGGTACAATCATCCTGAATCCGTAAGGGCGGCGAAATGCAAAAAACGCCATGCTCGCTGGCAATCAAACCACTGCCACGCCCTGTTCTTTCTTTCCTGTGCAAAGCCTCTCTGCACGCCTTCTCTTCCTCATGCTTCCATGCATGCAGACAGCCGTCTCACATGCGCTCGTCGTCGACCACCTCAGTCACGACAATCGTCGGCTGCTTGGGCACGCTGGCCCGGCCAGCCTCCTCGGCGCAGTCGCCGTCGCACCTCTGGCGCGGGACGGCAAAACATTGCACAGCACCAATGACGGCGACGACGGCGCTGCCGTACCATGCGAGGCCCGAGCAGTTGATCTTGGTGCCGTACGTGTACAGCAAGCCGGCAACGGGAGGCGCGATCATGCGGCACCCGGCACTCGCGCTGGCCGCCATGCCGTTGAGCTTGCCGAGAGCCTTGGGCGACGGCGCCGCCTCCTTGATGAGGATGAGGAGGAGCGGGTAGAGGATGATCGACAGCACGTTGCGCACAGCGAGGCAGAAGTAGATCGCCGGGTAGACCATGGCCTCGGGCACGAGCAGCAGGTTCGGCACGAGGACGTAGGCGATGGGGTGGAGCACCGTCACCGCAATGAACAGCTTGTACACGCCGAATTTCTGGGCAGCGAGGGGGAAAATGACGGCCTGCACAAAGAGCGCAATGACACCGTTGACACCCATGATCATGCCGACGGCCCTGGTCGTCATGCCGAGACCGCCAGCGCCGAGGCTCCCGGCGACGGACGAGGCCGCCGCAGAGAAGAGGCTCATGCTGCCGCTGTCGGCCCGGTCGTCCTCGAAGAAGATGGGCATCAGGTGGTCGTACGTCATCGAGTGGTAGGTGAAGATGCACAGCGCCACGACGAGCGTCATGATGCGCTTGGTAAAAATGTCGTACGACGGCTCCTCCTTCTTCTCGTCGAGCTGCGCCCAGTCGCCGGCGCTCAGGCTGCAGCTGCGGCCCCGGACGCTGCCGTACGTGTCGTCACGCAGGTCGACGGCGGGCCTCTTCATGGCGTCCGTCCGTGGCGAGCAGCGGCGTCTCCCTCGGACACAAACGTGCTCGGCGCCATCGACGATGCGGACTGCATGTCGGGGTGGGTCTCCTGGAGGAGGAGCCAGCCGAGCACAATGCTGACGAGGAGAAGCGCGGCGCAGACGAGGTTGGGCAGCAGGTAGGGGAAGTTGTAGAACAGGCTGCCGACGGGGAAGGCCTCGGGCCACGACTTGTGCGGGTTGGCCATGGTGCCACCAATAAAGGGGCCCAGGATGGTGCCGATGGACCAGACAAAGGGCATGACCGAGTAGGCGCGGGCTGCAAAATGTTAGTCTTGTGTGTTTGTGTCAAAAAGGGGCACACCAGATCAACTCACGCTCATGTTCAGGCTTCTTGACCATTTCCCCGACCATGGTCTGGATGACGCCAATGTTGCCGTTGAGGAGACCGCCGAGGGCCCGTCCGATGAGGGCGAGCCAGATGTTCGAGGCAAAGCCGACCATGACCAAGCTGAACATGGTGCCGATGCAGCCGATGAGGAGAACAGGCTTGCGGCCAATCTTGTCAGAGAGACCGCCCCAGTACATGCCCATCAGGGCCTCCGCCAGGGAGAAGGCCGAGATGAGCAGGCCCGCGTAGAAGGATGCATCTTCCTCGTTTCCTACCTCGTACCTCTTGACGAGCTCCCAGGCGTAGGGAAAGATGGACGTGAGGGCAATGGGTTCCGCGAGTCGGACGATGGCTGTCAAAGTGATTAGCCTCTCGTGGGCCGAGGAATGTTGGTGTCTTGGACATGAAGACCTCACCCAGGAGAAAGAGCTGGACAGTGGGGAAAGGCGTTTTGGGTCCCGAAGAGTAACTTCTCTTG